ACTAGTTCATAAGTGTTTTTTATAGAGTATTTAGCAGAAAATAGAGTATGATTTAAGATAATATTAATAAGGGTTTTAGAAATTTTATAAGAAGGAGATGAAAAGAAAGAAACAACAGGTCTGATAGGGTTACCTATTTTATGAAGTTTTATTAATGAATAATGTTTTGGAGCTTGAGGGTTCATAAGTAATAATCTCCATTTGTCTCTATCTATAAACAAACTTTTACAATTTTGTATTATTGATTTTATTGAATTTTGAAAACTATTAGTAGGATCTGTATTTGATAAACTATAATTTATAGGTTTTAAAAAGTCTATAGTTTTTTGTATATAATCAGTTTTACTTATAGCTATAACAGTATTTCCTTTATCTGCTTTTGTGAAAGTAATGTCTTTCGATTTTGATTTAATTTGTTGTATTAAAGAAAATTCTAGTTTTTGTTTATTATCATTTAAAGATTTATTTTTTATGACATTCGAAGCAAGATATTTTAGGTTTAAATTATTTGAATTATCTTTAAGTGCTATTTCAGTCTCAACTCTTAAAATCTCCAAAGACGTTCTGATGTTATTATTGTTTAAATTATATTTGAAACCTTTTTCTAACAAGTTAGTTTCTTCATGAGAGAAATTAACGTTAGTTAAATTCATAAATTTGTTATAAAATTTGTGTTCTGCAAAAGTTATTCTTTGTTGTTTTAGTTTTTGTTTATTTATTATTTAGAAGTAAGTTGTTTAATTTATTTTTTTGAGTTAAATATTTTTTATGTATTATATCACTTACTTTTTCTCTTGTGTCTCTATCCAAAACTAGGAACTCTGTATAATGTAGTCTATATAAAAGTTCTGTATGGGTTACTTTGAGATAAACATTATAAACATTATAAAAAAAAAAAAAATCTATTTGTTAGAAATTGGTGGATTAAATCTAGAGATTTGCCCCTCACGCCAAAGTTCTCCAATTTATGCAAAAGCAAGTGATGTGGTACATTATCAAAGGCTTTCTCAAAATCTAGGTATATAACATCTGTTGGTTGTGAAGTGTCGTGATTTGTTGTCCAGTGGTCAAGGCAAGTTAGTAGATTTGTTGTAGTGGATCGTTTTGGAATAAAGCCAAGTTGCTTTGGTGTTATTACATTGTTTTCAACAAAAAATGCAATTAGATCCTCAACAATAATTCTCTCCATACACTAACAGGGATTACATGTAAGGCTGATAGGTCGGTAGTTCGCTGCTAAGTTCCTATCTCCCTTCTTGATAGAGTTGTCACGATTGCATGTTTTAAATCTTCTGGCATTACTCCAATGTCAATAATATTCTGATCCGCTGACACAACTAGTGAAGTAAGTGAATTTGCAGACTTCTGAAGAAATGTGTCGGAATATTATCAGGGCCTGGACTGGACTCGGACTTCATTTTATTTAAGCAGCGAATATCTTTTCTTCTGTAAACTCTATGTATTCAATGCTATTGATGGTTCTTGTTTCAAGAGGGATTATGGGAAAATTATTTATTCTTCTGCTAATATATTTATAAAATCTCTTAGTGGATTCCGATGTTGCAATGTCATTTCCAAATTTTCTTCTGGCTGTACTAATCATATCTTTAAGCATATTTTATGAGAGGTGTATAAACGATTATTTTGTTCATTTTTCTGTTTCTTGTCGATTGCTTTAAAAATTCTTTCATTTATCCAAGGTTTCTTATGGTTAACTCTAACTGATTTCATTGGTATAAAACTGTTAATGGCACTAGTTAATATAATATTCAATTCTTGATAGGTGTTACATGTCTACACTCATCATTCAATACGCAGCGTCCTTCCTTACTGTGTGGGCTTTTTCAAAGAAAATAGCACCTATTAAACACAAACACAAAACTTTAGGTCTCAACGAAAAGTCAGCGATTATAGACGAGCTGAAACGCGGAGTTAGTGGCAAATACTTAGCTGTTAAGTATGAAGTAGGGGCTTCAACCATCAGCGACATTAGGAAAAAGCGGACTGTAAAATGCCTTAGTAATCCGAATAATTTGATAATCCGGATTGGTCTGGTTTTAATTGATCCGGATTATCGCGACACTACTGTACAAGCAATGGTCATCTTAATTGTCCCTATTTTAACATCTAACCAAACTGAATTAACTGGTGGTTCTAATTTGATTTATTTGACAACTTTGCATTTACTTTATGTCCACCCATATGACTTTTAACATAGAGACAAACTCTACCCCCTTTCTAATTTATGCGATCTTGTCGAAAATAGCAATATCGAGGGCAATATTCATCCAATTTATTAAAACTGTCGGTTAAAGATTCATGCAGCTATGCTTCTGTTATCAGAATAAAAGTGGGTGGAGAAGCAAGGTTAGAAATGCGTATTTTGAATTCATCTGTTTTATTTACAAGAGAAGAAAGGTTAGTATACATAAAGGAAACTTCACACACCTTTTCGAATTTGAGTTTTTTGGATGTCTATCAGTTACAATAGTTGGAATACCTCTTATATATTTCATGATTATATTTTGTTTACCTTCGCTCTTCTCTTTCTCTAATTTTTCTATAACCTACCTTAAATAGCTTCGCTGCATAAATGTCTGGTCATTTCTCAAGTACGTTCCGGTTTGGTCTTCCAATGCTTTTCTATTTCTCAGCACTTGCAAAGCTTCTTGCTTTGAAGATAAAATTACTTTGATTGGTCGCTTTTTATCTGCTGTATAATTCCCAAGCCTAATGATTCTTGCTGTATCAGGTAGAATTTGCTTCATTTTGGTGAACAAAGAATTTACTTTTTCTTTATCATCTTCTTTCCTTCCTGCCTCGTCATTCTTTCTGGATTCCTTCACTCCAAACATTAATACATTGGTATCTCTTTCCTCTCTTACCTTTAGTTCAATTAGTGTTGGTTCTAAAGCTGGCTTCTCTTCCATACTTTCAATGTTGTCGACTTTTTGTTCCAAACCTTTCAGAGCATCCGCGTAGCTCTGTCTGGGCATTTTTTTAGAAATAACCTCTACTTCCTTCGTCAGCTCGGTTATGATTTGTATTATTTCCTCGATTATTTCTTCGTTATTTGCTTCTTGGCTTTTGATAACATCCTCAAAAGCCTTGTGATGGTATCATGAGTGGTATCCTTTCTGTAAGCGCAATAAGATCTTCTTTCATGTCACCTATAGATTTATGCAGTGTTTCCCTTTCACTTTCTTGTTCTTGAAAACGCTTCAGTACTTTTACCTTGAAAAAGTCAAAGTGGTTCTTGAACTTTGCACCATTTTTAACTACTGACTTCATTGCTTTTATTTATTTATTTTTACTCCTACATACACCTTTACCAGGTACTTACAATACAAGAGTGCTTACTGACACCCTAATATCCACTATGGTTAAATTAAAAAGAAACACAAAAAGTTAGACTTATACTAAGTTACACATAAAATATAAAATAACAATCACAGAGATTTAAAAAAAACTAGTAAAACTTTGGTATTAAAAAAAAAGATCTTATGGCAAAGGTATTTGTATTAAATAAATCAATATCAGATTCCCTTACCAATCTGTTACATTAGATCGATCTAAGGCTTGATCAAGACCACACATCGAAAGAAAAACAAGAACAATCCTGTGTCATCGAGATTGGATTAAAACCGTATGCTCTGAGGAATAGTAGACTCAAGAAAATCCTGGCCGGGGATTCTAAAATCACGATTCGACATACGACTCGACAACAAGACGATTTTTCCGACGATTCTAGGTTAGAAATCTCATTGGAATTGTACCTTTCGAGACGACAAGGCCCGTATCGTTATCAAGTCGTGTGTCGAATCGTGATTTTAGAATCTCGGCCCTGGTAAGTACAGGAGGAAGCTGGATCAGAAAGTTGCCATCGAGGATGCATTCCTGCCATTCTTCTAGTTCCCGAGGTGTCAGTCCATGGAAAAAACCATGCAGGCTTGAGCTGAGGGTTAAACTGGATGGACAGGAAGGCATCCTGTCTGATTTTAATGAAAAAAGTCCAAACAATATCTTAATTTATAATATTTATTTATTTTTTATTTCAATTTTGAAGGGTGACCTGGTAGGCAAACAACTCAGCAAAAAATAATCATGGTTGGGCAAGCATGGACAATCGATGGGCAAAGAATTGTGATTATAGATTGGTTACTGAATTTGGGGGTGTTGAGAAAAACAATTGACAACATTATATTTTTCCAATAACTCTTTTTTTGGGTTAGTTTGGGGTAGAAGTGGGCAAAAAAAAAGATATTCCATTTTATTAAGGCCTCCTTAGTAAAGATAGAAAAGTCTGCTATGTTTGCAGTCAGAAAAATATTGCAGATATTATACATTTTCTGGTACATTTTACTATTCCTGCCTTGATTTCAGCACATTTGTTTTCTTGAAGAGGGAGTGTCTCTGGGAGTGTTAAAGTCCCATAAAATCAATTTTATTAAATAATAACAAGCAGTTTAAGTACAGTACTTGTTGCATAGAGATATTATTTGTAATAGGTAGTCTGTCAAGAAATCAGTAAAAAATGGAAATTTCAATATCTTTAGCCACATAACACTATCAATAAGCTTAGAAATAGCAGCCCAAGTTCAGGCAATGAATGATACTGATGGAAAGTAATCTATGGTCTCTTTAAATAATTGCGAAACTTATACCATCCAAAACAATCTTAAAATAAACAAGTACAACTGGAAAATTCAAAAGCAGTACGCATTCAGTCTGGTATTCTTATTGCTTGCCCGTAAAATAATTATTTATTTATTTATAGGTACAAATAGGTAAAAAATGAAGCCCCGAGAAAAAAAAACGTTGAAGGTGTAATTCTCGGTTTAATTATTTGTATTTATCAGTACTAATCAGTAGTGAAGATTGCTCCCATAGATAGAACATAGTAGATTAAAAGCCCCTGATATAGCTTTTCTATTGCAAAATCAGTGACAATTTATAATTATTAATAATATTACAAATAAAAGTACGAAAAGTCTTCTTACCATATAGGACACTCTATTTTTTTTGTTAGGGAGAGCAAAATCTCCGATACACGTTCTAATTGTTGTTGATTCATTATAATTAACTTAATATTGCAAATATTTCACTCATAATAAAACATTCACAAAAATATTGTGCTGTCCATTGCAATACAAAATACAATAATAAAGTTTTGGCGCTTTTTTTAATTTTTATACCACTGACGTTTCGTAGTCCCTGACAAGTGACATTTGATAAGTCACAACGAAGCGCTTTCGCTTCGGTTCGATTAGATCAGATTTCTGTTCCGTGAGTGCCGAGTGTTAACACTGTTTAGCTTTAAGCTGGAGTCTCATGAATCCGTTTTCCGACGTCGGGAAACCTTTCTATTCTGACATATGTATAAAAATATAGCCGCTTTCCAGCTGACCATTTTGAGCACGCAATAGAGCTTTTGCGCGCGGAAACGCTTCAAGCGCGTGTTCGTGTTCCAGCCGTACTGCGCTTCGAGAGCTGCTAACTTTTGCGTTTCAAACACAGAACACTGTGCTGCACCGTGCTCGAAGCACAAACACAATAGCCGCTTTCCAGCTGTCTGCTTAAAGCACGGTGCAGCATAGTGTTCTGTGTTTGAAACGCAAAAGTTAGCAGCTCTCGAAACGCAGTACGGCTGGAACACGAACACGCGCTTGATGCATTTGCGCGCGCAAAAGCTCGATTGCGTGCTCAAAAGCGTCAGCTGGAAAGCGGATTGTCAGAATGGAAGGTTTTTCGGACATCGGACGTCGGAAAACGGATGCATGAGACTTTGGCTTTAAGCTTACATTTCATTTTTCTGTCAATACGTTGATCCGGATTGATGTAAACTATAGGTGGGTTCGGCTTGCTCACTCCGTGGACTCGGAGTGACTCCATTCGCACTCCAGCCGTTCGGGTTAAGGTTCGGGTATTGCTTTTTACCGTATTAGGGGTGACTCCATTAGCTCTGTTCACTCCACTCCAACTCCGCGCTGAATAGCCGAACCCAGCTTATGTAGACTGAGCTTTTTTGCGACTTTTTATGTGGAGAGTATATGAAAAACTGGTGTTTATCAGTCAAAATATTGACAGGTCGACATATTTCACGTCACTAACAAATGTCAACATAAGCTAAGGCCGGGACCGCACTGACGCCAACATTGACCCCAATGCGGTTCCGGCTTTAACCTATGTTGACATTTGTTAGTGACGTGAATATGTCGACCTGTCAATATTTTGACTGATAAATACGGGCCCGGATTCCAATTGACGTTTTCAATTAAAAGAGATGGACAATAAAGTATGAAAACAATCATTTTCCCGCCAACATTTGCTTGCTTGTCAATGCCAGTGTGTATTGGGGTGTTTTGAAAGAAAATGCAGGAAAAGTCACTACTTCCTTTGCAGAACTTCGCTATGGAGAAAGCGGTGGATTATTTTGGAAGCAAAACAGCTCCCGCAAACTAAACTTGAACGTGGATTACTTTGTATAATTGATAGGCCGTGGATTTCCCTTTTTTTTGCGAGTATTCTTTCTGATTTTATGTATCCAAAATTTGACAAATGTAGGATTTGATGGAAACTTATGGAAAGACACGTCCGCCAGTAAATAGGAATTATTTTTACAAAAAGGCACACTACACAATCACTATTGTTAGGAAAAAAACTTTGAAAAAACCGAAGAAATAATAGTTTCCAGTTTCCACATGTACAAAAATCTTGTCAACAAACCACTGTCAGCGGCTGTCAACCGTTGTTTTCATACTCTTTTGGCGTCTGACAGTTTGACGCCAGAGAGAGAGGGTTTTAGGGTCGAATTTATAGTCGTTCCTTGACTCTTCCTTGGAGGTCGTGAGTTTAGAATGGACACTGGCTAATATTTGACAAATTATTCATGTCAATTCTAAACGTTCAAGGCTTCCTTAAGGTCTGAGTAAACCTCAAGGAGCGACTATAAATTCGGCCCTTAAATTGAAAAGGTCAATTGACAATACGATATCGGATTAGGCGCTTTCGGTGAAATTTACGATTCCCATTCGAGAAATGAAACGGTCGCTTCGAGTAGAACGATATCGGATTACTCGCCAGCTCTAAGCTGGTGGATTGCTCGCTTTCGACATGAAATTGACAAAATTGACACGTTTTGTTGTTTTTTTTTTCTATTCTTTACGACTTGAATTATTTTTCTGTGGAAAGGGAAAGTCCCAAATCTCGCTGGTATGATCGTGGCACAGAACCTCAGCGTTGCAAAGATTTTAATAAAATTAGGGACTGAATTATGGTATATCCCTTCAGCCAGAAAATTACTTAAATATTTCTAGCAATCATTATCAATCGTCTATTTCTTTCTCGTCGAGCAATTCCTATTGTAGACGATTGTGAATAATATTGGAAGCATTTTTCAGTTTGACCTTTAAAGACACTATCTATTAGTAGGTACCTACATAAAGTAAATTTCAATGAACAATTTGAAAGTAAACATAGGGTCATTTCACTGGTTAACCGGCCATCACCGGTTCTCGGCCATTTTTCTGTTTAATGTTGAAAAATAAGAAAACTACAGCACGTATACATATTCTCGATGCTTATCTGACTCTCTGTATCTTTCTCGTACCCATATGACTTTGGGTGTTGTTAGGGGTGCAATTGGTTTAGACTTGAAAAATCATTTAGTAGAGGTCTACTCAAGTCGCGAGTACGACGTTTGTTATTCTTCAAAAGTGCTTAGTGATGTTTGAGCAGAAAATAGTAAATATTTCATCATTTTTATGTTAGAAATGTATGGAAAGTGTTTTTACTTATAGGAATATATTTTACCTTCATAATTTTATGAGAAAATCTTATTAAAACAATTTTTTTTTCATGAAATTTCAGGCGGCCGGAAAGTAGTATTGAAAAAAACACGTATTTTAGTTCAAGAATCATATACTTGTTTAATGTTTCTATTTTGAATTCATTCAGATTATGTAAATAGTTAATACATAATAAAATTTTTAACAGGTGCATTTGGATATCTCCTTTTTATATATTAGTTTGCGGCCGTCAAATATTACATAAAATAATGTTTGTTTCGAACTTCAATTTTCATAAATATTCAGGGGCCGAGAACTACCTTATCTCGGCCACTACTAGAGTTCAGTGGCCGAGAACCCATGGATCCATATATTTTGTGTGTTTCAATTGTCGGCCATTATAAAATTCCTGATTGCATGTTCAATGGAGTAGGTACCTATACCACCTACCTTACTAAAGTTAAAGTGTTAGAAAGATTTTTACAGGTAATGACCAACGTGAATACAGGGACACTTCGGTCCCTGTTTGGGAATCGGCCCACTGAGCAGTGGACTCAGGCTTCCCGTGCCAATCCTTGACGCGTTTCGTCCTTGTTAGGACTCATCAGAAGGACATAGGCTGAAGCTCCCTGTCCAAGCAAAATTGAACTTCGTTGACCAGTCAGAAACAACTACTCCGAGCTTCAGCCTATGTCCTTCTGATGAGTCCTAACAAGGACGAAACGCGTCAAGGATTGGCACGGGAAGCCTGAGTCCACTGCTCAGTGGGCCGATTTCCAAACAGGGACCGAAGTGTCCCTGTATTCACGTTGGTCATTACCTGTAAAAATCTTTCTAACAATTTCTATTGCCAACGAAAGCTCAGACCAATCAGTGTAGTTCAACGCCGGTAGGGGTATTTGCCCTCGGAGTAGTTGTTTCTGACTGGTCAACGAAGTTCAATTTTGCTTGGACAGGGAGCTTCAGCCTATGTCCTTCTGATGAGTCCTAACAAGGACGAAACGCGTCAAGGATTGGCACGGGAAGCCTGAGTCCACTGCTCAGTGGGCCGATTCCCAAACAGGGACCGAAGTGTCCCTGTATTCACGTTGGTCATTACCTGTAAAAATCTTTCTAACAATTTCTATTGCCAACGAAAGCTCAGACCAATCAGTGTAGTTCAACGCCGGTAGGGGTATTTGCCCTCGGAGTAGTTGTTTCTGACTGGTCAACGAAGTTAAAGTTAAAGTACCCATCATTTAAGATAACTCAGAGACCTAAACAATTTTGCTAAAAGAAAAGTTTTTGTTTCTGTCTTTTTTAGTGGCTCCCACAAAAAAAGTGTAAGTTCCAAGAAAAAAACAACTGTCAGACCCAAGGCAAAAGCAGTAGCTAAACGAACCATGTTTCAATATTCTGAAATGGATTTAAAAAAAGATTTACATGAAGTCCGAATCAACAATATCTCAGTTCGTGAAGCCAGTAGAAGGTATAAAGTCCCGAGAACGACACTTCAAGACCGGCTCATTGGTCGAGTTCCTGATGAGCTGAGGAAACCAGGACCACGCAGCCTCTATTAACTGAAGAAGGCAAAAAAATTATTAAAGAATGGGTGATTAAGCTTTCCAAATGTTGATTTCCCTTTAAATAGAACATGTTGTTGGAGACTGTATCGAAAATTAATGTAGAATCTGGCCTGAACTTATTTAAAGGAGGAATGCCGAAGCAAACTTGGTACTCTAACTTCATGAGAAGAAACCCAGAAATCTCGTTGAGAGAAGCAGAAGGCATCAATAAAGCTCGTGCAGTTGTGTGGATGGGTTCTAGGCAAATCCGAGAAAGGCTGGATGACATCAGACGTCTTTTTCGAATAGGTACCTACCTGGAATTCGTATGGCCGAGAACTGATATAAAATTGGCCGAGATCTGCGGCGAGTGACCGAGAACCAAAAAAATTACGTTTTTTCAATTTTTCTTTTTTTTTTCGTTTTTTGTATCTAAAGCATGGTTTAGACGACTAATTTTTGATAAAAAACATTCCAAAGATTTACTTAATATCCTCACATTGTTGATCCGACACTTTTTTCCATATTAACTACATCTCCAAAGTCGATTTCTTACTTAGCAGGCCGAGAACCAGTGAAATGACCCTATAAAGTGGTACCTACTTAACCTACTCATCATTGGTACCTGACTGAAAATTCTAATTACCTAGCCTTATTAGTGGCCGCCACAATAGTGAGAAAAAAAGTAATAAATACGACAGTGCAAATCTATCTGTTGAAGTTAAATCAAAAAACTCAAGAGAATTAACAAAAGAACAACCAACTTCTAACAAACTGCTACAAGTGACGATTTTTATTATTTTTTTAAGTTTTAGACTATCCAAAACACGTGACACAAATATGGCCGATAAGAGGCACAC